CAGCCCCTTCTTGCCTGTAAGGTCTCTTTTGAGAAATCCGCTGAAAGTCTGATGGGGACTCCTTTGTAGGTGACTGTCCCCTTAGCTCTTGCTGCTTCTAGGATTCTCTCCTTCATTTTAATTTTGGCTAATGTAATTATGATATGCCTTGGTTTGTTCCTTCTTGGGTCCAACTTCTTTGGTACTCTCTGAGCTTCCTGGATTTCCTGGAAGTCTATTTCCTTTTCCAGATTGGGGAAATTCTCCTTTATTATTTGTTCAAAGAAGTTTTCCACTGGTGGCTGTGCCTTTCCCCCTTCTGGTACCCCTATAATTCGAATGTTGGAGTGTTTAAAGATGTCCTGGAGGTTCCTAAGACTCTCCTCATTTCTTTGAATTCTTGCTTCTTGACTCTTTTCTGTTTGGCCATTATTTGCTTTCTTCTGGTCCACTCCATTGATTTGAGTGCCAGTTTCCTTTTCATCGCTATTGGTGTCCTGTGCGATTCCATTCATTTCAATTAGTTTCGCCTTCATATATTTGTCTAATTTGTGGCTATAATCAACCAGTTCTGTGAGGACCCTGATCACCAGTGTTTTAAACTGCGTCTGAGAGTTTTGCTATTTCTTCATCGCTTAGATCTGTGGGTTCTGAGGCTTTGAGATCTTCTTGCACCATTTTTGGTCTGTTCACGCCCTTTAAGTGTGAGAAGCGGTGCCTTGGACTCCCAGGTTGCTGGGTTGTGACGCTGTATGTGGGGGCGTGGTCAGAGCGGGGAAATGGCGACCCCCTCTGCTGTTTCTCACAGCTGGGTGAGGAGCAGCGTCTTAGGTGGTTCACCTGGGCTGGGCCACTCAGAGTCGCTGGGTTATGACGCTGTATGTGGAGGAGGGAAATGGCGGCGCCCTCCACTGCCGCTAGCCGCGGGGACCCGCCAGCCCGGTCCAACCGCCCACTCCCTCGCTTGTCTCTCCGCGCACAAATGCGCGACCACAGTCAACACGCAGCCCCGCTGCCCCGCTGTCTCCCCCGCGGTCGCTCACTAGGTCCAACCCTGCGCCTGGATTCCGTGCGCCTGAGTCCATCTGACTGAGCCCGTCTGACTGATTTTTCCTGTGCAACCCCGCTCCACCAGCCACTGGTTTCGCCCCTTACCGGTCGGGCTGAAGAATTTGTTGTTAACGGACTTTCGAAAAGTTCAATTTTCCGTGTTCTGGCTGTGTTTTTTGTTGCTAATATTTAGTTGTCTCTAAACTTGGTTGTGTGAGAAGGCACGGCACATCCACCTATGCCTCCATCTTGGCGGAAGTTCTAAACTAAGATTCAGCTTTTTTTTTTTTAAGTCCTCACCCGAGAACATCTTTTCATTGCTTTTAGAGAGAGGAATGGGGCGAGGGAGAGACAGAAACATGGAATAACAGAGAAACATCGATTGGCTGTCCCCTGTTGGCTTCCATGACTAGGATCAAACTTGCAAGCTTTTTTTTTTAAGTATATTTTATTGATTTTGCTACTACAGTTTTCCCAATTTTTCCTTCTTTACTCCCCTTTTTCCCTGTACCCCACAACCCTCCAGCATTACCCCCTCTTAGTTTATGTCCATGGGTTGTACATATAAGTTCTTTGAGTTCTGTTTTTTATACCATTTTTGACCCCTCCCCATCTATTTTATGCCAACCAATTATGCTTTTTCTTCCCTGTACCTTTTCCCCCCTATTTCTCTCTTCCCCCTCCCCATTGAAATCCCTCCATGTGATGTCCATTTCTCTGATTCTGTTTCTGTTCTAGCTGTTCGCATAGTTTTTCTCATTGTTTTTCTTTTACTTTTGTTTTTTGAGGTTCATTCATTGATACTTGTGAGTTTGTTGTTTTACTGTTTATAGTTTTGATCTTCTTTTTCTTAGACAAGTCCCTTTAACATTTCATATAAGAGCTTGGTGATGATGAACTCGAACTTGACCTTATCTGCCCTTCCATTCTAAATGATAGCTTTGCTGGATAAAGTAATCTTGATTGTAGTTCCTTGCCTTTCATGACTTGGAATACTTCTTTCCAGCCCCTTCTTGCCTGTAAGGTTTCTTTTGAGAAATCTACTGATAGTGTAACAGGAACTCCTTTGTAGATAACTGTCTCCTTTTCTTTTGCTGCTGTTAAGATTCTCTCTTTATCTTTATTTAACCTTGGGTAACTTAATGATGATGTGCCTTGGTATGTTCCTATTTGGATCCAACTTCTTTGGGACTCTCTGGGCTTCCTGGATTTCCTGGAAGTCTCTTTCCTTCGCCAGATTGGGGAAGATTTCATTCATTATTTATTCAAATAAGTTTTCAGTTTCTTGCTGTTGTTCTTCTCCTTCTGGTCCCCCTATAAATTGGATAGTTGAACTTTTAAAGTTGTCCCAGAGGTCCCTAAGCCTCTCTTCAGTTTTTTAATTCTGGTTTCTTCCTTCTATTCTGGTTGGATGTTTCTTTCTTTTGTTCCAAATCATTGATTTGTGTCCTGGTTTCCTTCCTGTCACTGTTCCCTAAATATTTTTCTTTATTTCTTTTGGGTATCTTTCATTTGTTTTATAATTTTTTAACCAAGCTCAATCAGGTCTGTGAGCATTTTGATTACCAGGTCTTTAAATTCTCCATCAGATAGGTTGGCTGTCTCCTCATTGCTTAGCTCTTTTTCTGGAGTTTTGCTCTGTTCTTTCATTGGGGCCATATTTCTTTGTCGTAGCTGATATGTTGCAAGGGGGTGGGGTCTTAGGTATTGACCCTGGCAGGGTACCCCTCCTTGGCAGTCCACCCCTCCTCGCTACACTGTGGGCTGCCTGTTGGGGAGGGGCCAGAGAGGGAACAGTGTAGCTTATCTGCTTGTCTCTAGCCTGCTTTCCAACGAATTCTTGTGAGACTGGGAGTTTCTCCCACCGCGGCAGCCCGTGCCGCAGTCTGCAGTCAGCTCTGAGTCCCAGTTTCCTGTTCAGTCAGCCCCATCATGCACAGTCTGCAGCCTGGCTGCAGCTTCTCTCAGTGGGCCCCGCCCATGCAGGCTGCCACCTTATCTCTGGTTCTCAGCGTCTGCTGTGTTACTGGCACGGTTGTTCTGGTTGACTTTTTCCTTAGTTCATTGGTTTTGGGAGTTCCATGCCATTTGATTTTCTGGCACTTCTGGTTGTTTATTGACTTTAGATTGTTATCCAGTGGAGTGTGAGGAAGCAAAGGGTTTCTACCTACGTCTCCATCTTGGCCAGAACTCCGGAATCCTCAAGCTTTTGGTTCACAGGATAGACACTCCAACCAACTGAGTCACACCGGCCAGGGCTAGTAGCTTTTTAATGTAATATTTTACATTTAATGTCACATTTTCAGCCATAAAAGTAGACCTCCAGTTCTGGCATTGGAGCCATTAATAATGCCCCATTGGATTTCGGTAAATTATTTCTTACAGCTTTGAATGTCTTTAAAAGCCTTGACAAATTAAGAAATATAATTTGTCTTATTAAACTAGGGTTTAACAATGAAAAAGATGTGGTCTTTCCTTCAGGAGCTTTGAGTCGAGTGGAACAAAAGCAAGTACTAATGGAAAATGCTGGTGACCAGCAGTGAGGCAGAGAGAGGTGTGGCAGGGGGAAGGGGAGGGTTGGAGAGGGGGCCCAGTTCTTGGCTTGGGCACTCTTGTGTTGTGAGTTAGGGGCCACAGGGGGAGCATGGTGAGTCACTGTGGGCCACATATCTGTAGGGCTGGGTGTGTAAAGAGGGGTATGTCTAGGAAGTATATGGCTTTGTGACCTGGAATCAGAGACCCCCCCAAGGGAGAGACCCCCAATGGGGTCACATGAACGAGGGTCAGGTAGCATTAGCACAGGGGTGAGGACGATGTACGTGTGATTAGTATCCAGAAGAACAAGGGAGGCCGCTGTGTGCAGAGCACCAGATATGGTAGGTGGAAAAGGCAAGGTGCAGAACTTACTCCTGTGAGACTCTGGATCTGCCTGCCCCTGAGAAGTGCCAGTAAGCGGCTGAGGAGCACGGGAAGTACTTTGTCATTTTGTACCATATAGAGCTATGATATACTACAAAACTAATTGGTTAGGGACAGATGGGGAAAGAGAAGCCAGAAAGGTCAGAGGAAAATTAGTGGCTGGCCATGTCACCTGGTGAATAGGGCTCAAATAACTTAAAGACAAAAGTTACTATCGGACTTAACAACCAAGAGATTGTCTTTAGCAGTCCTTGGAAGTTTGTTTATCTATTATAATTTTTTAAATTCTTACTGACTTGAGAGAGAGAGAGAGAGAAACATCAATTTGTTGTTCCACTTATGTATTCATTAGTGATTTCTTGTAGGTGCCCTGGCTGGGGATTGAACCTGCAACCTTGGCATACCAGGACAACACTCTAACCAATTGATCTACCTGGCCAGGGCTTTGCCCTTGGAAGTTTATGTGGAGCAATGAGGGTAGAAGTCAGGTTGTCCTAGGATAAAATATTCAGCTGCAAATGTCACTGACTGGTTATGTATTTGGGAGGAGACATAACTTGAAGTTCAACTATTTTTATTAGTATACATAACATTCCAAATTTAACTTAAATATTTAGTATTAGAACTGGAATGAACCTTAGAGTTAGTTTATCTAACCTCTCATTTTATAAATGAAGAAACCAGATCCAGAGAGAGAAGGGTGTCCCTCTACAGGTTGGTGTAAGACCTGCCCAGAGCCTGCTTCTTACTGGCTCCCCGACTTGTAACTTTGGACAGATTACGTATTTCCCTGTGCCTTGGTTTCCTTGTTGTCTCATGGGCAATAGTTACATATTATAGATTTATTTGTGTGAATTAAATGGCTGTATGTGAAGCTCTCAGATCAATGCCAGAGACAGTATGTATTCAGTAAAAGTTAACTATTAATTTATTATTCAAGCCACTATTCTTTCCAGTATACTATAGCTATAATGTCTTGCTAGAATTTTCCTCATTAAAAAAAGTCTTAGCTCTTTAATTCACCACTTTTCATTTTCCCCATGTTTTCCTAGACCAGTTGACCGGTTTGATCGAGACAGACCACTGCGGGGACGCGGGGGCCCGAGAGGGGGCCTGCGGAGCAGAGGCAGAGGTGGTCTTGGGAACAGACCTTTCGACCGTTTTGACCAGAGAGGAAAACGGGAATTTGAGAGATATGGTGGGAATGATAAAATGTAAGTTTCTTCGTAAATGCTATTTTCACTTTAAGATCTTAGTCATCATAATATGAATCTGTTATATGTTAATATTTAATTGACTTTATATTAGTGTACTATCATTCCTGGAAGAGCTGATCCTGGGATAACTTTTAGATCAACTTCTCTGAGTTGGAGATGGACTAGAGGCCAGCTTCTAGTTTAAGGGAATATCCTTTCTTTCTCTAGAGCAATCAGAACCGAAGACAACATGGGTGGATGTGGAGTTCGCACCTGGGGATCAGGTAAAGATACCAGGTATGGTGCGAATGTATGCCTTCTGTGAGCCTGCAGCTAAGTGGAAGTCTTGGTCTGAATTGGCCTTTCACGAAAATTATGTCCTCTGCTCTGCTTGCAGTGCCTTTATGCTTGTGTTCCTTTAAGTAGAGATTGATTTTAGGCTTACGTTTAACTTTAAATAGTGGGTTTGCTGTGTTGTAATTAGATTTGAAAACTGCTTTTAAAATTCTTTTATTTTGTCTTATTTTAGCCAAACAAATTTATGTGTTTGCTCATGCACCAAGCACATGACATTACATTTACAAAAGCCTCAAAATGTTTTCTAAATTCCTGGATATTCTATATTTCATTTTTCTGTGACTTTCCAAAGTTCTTATATACACTGCATCTTCATTTCCTGAAATCATTTGCAGATTGAAGCTCAGTGACAAGTTTTGCCTGAGGTTCAAATTTGACATTTCTCTGAGGCATCGTGGTGTCTCAGATCTGTTCCAGTTTTGCTCCTTAAAGGAGGTACGTGGTTCTTCTGTGTCTGTCATTTCACTGCTGCAGGGATGGTGCCTTCCTGGTGTCTGCAATGAGAGAGGCAGGAAGTACTTCAGGGCAGCGTAGGGTGGGTGACAGATGGGTCACCCAAGGACATGTTGCCGGGCAGGCTTTCTACAAGTTAGAACTCACGAGAGGATCCAGACTTCCAGTTTTCTTCTTTTGAATATAAGCTTTTTATATACATTTATTTTTCTTAAATTGCTATCCTTAAAGACAAATTGTATACAATAATATCAAGTGTAACATCAGATTTACTACCATTGCACATTTGTTGTCCTTGAAAGGAAAAAAGCCTTGTTAAGTATTCTCGATCTGGGCTTCCATGGGATTTTTTTTTTTTCTCTTATGAGAATTTAATGAACTCCTGTCTGTGTGGCTTCAAGTTACCAGGACACAGGCCCCACCAAGACTCTCCATCTTGTCCTCAGCTCTTTTGCTGAGGAATTTGGCCTTCACGATGAATGGCTGCTTTGGGAGCTTCCATTCCCCAGGACTTTGCAGTAGGCTGATCCCATCACAGCAATGATGGGAGCAGTTCCGGTCTTGTTTTCAGCAGCATTTACCCGTGTCTGCTCACCGACCAAGGTCCACAGTTTATCAAGGTTGACAGTGGGGCAGAAGCTCTGGTTCCTCTTTAAGTGGTCATGCCTCATACCACCTTTCCCAAAGTAACCTGGGTGGTATTTGTCAGAGTTGACCCTGTGATGATGTAAGGCACCAGCATTACCTTGGCCTCCCAGTTGCTTCCTGTGCTTGATGATGTGGCTGTGGCTGTGGCTCACATGGCCCCAAAGTTTCCAGGTTTTCCTCAGTCTGGATGGTGTGTTGGTGGCTGAGATGCCTCCGTAGGATCTTTTTTTTTTTTCCCCCAGAGCATTTTTTAAAAAGATTTTATTTATTTATTTTTAGATAGATGGGAAGAAAGGGAGAAAGAGAGGGAGAGAAACATCAGTGTGTGGTTGTATCTCACTCGCCCCCTACTGGTGACCTGGCCTGCAACCCTGGCATGTGCCCTGACTGGGAATCAAACCGGCCACCCTTTTGTTCACAGGCTGGCCAGCACTTAATCCACTGAGCCATGCCAGCCAGGGTAACAGGCTGTGGACTCTAAATCTTTGTATTTGTTTTTTATTTTACTGTGATTATAGATAGATAATATATTTTTAAAAAGCAATACAGGCAACTCTTGAATCATCTGATTTACTACTTTAATGCTACCACTCCATTTCAGTTCGCATTTGAACTTAAAATTATTTTTGGCTCCAAGTGATAACTTATAAGGCATCAGCCTTGGCCTTGTAGCATGAAGAGGTGACCACATGTGCTCCTGGCAGACTGGCATGTCTAATGTGAAGATGAAAGATGCTCTGTGGCACTCATTTTGGATTGATTTGTAAGTTATAAAGTCAGAGCTCTTAGGTGGTAATAATCTAGAATCAAAAGATTTTACTTAGTGTAAGACTTTTATCGCTTATTTAATAAATTGAAATTTTGATTTGCCATCATGAATACCATGTAGTACAGTTGAATTATGTGCAACTTTTGATTAATAAACAAGAGCAGAGGTGAGCCTAACGCAGGAAGCGATGTGTCTGTCCATAGCTGGCGAGGCCAGCTGCACAGTTCAGTGTAGATGTGAAGGTTTCACTGTAGTTCAGTATTCCTGTTTACAGATATTAGCAGCATAATTAGATTTGTGGACAAGCTGCTTTTAAAATGGTGTGGCTGAGCCTCGTCTAGTGTTATAGTTTTCAGAACAGTTTGATCGTGAGTACCTGTGCTGAAAATAGAATTTGTTCCATCAACAGTAATTTAAGAAGTATAATGTCAGCTATTACTCACTTGTTATCAATTGAAATAGACACCCATGAGTGCAGTTTTCAATAATGCTGCCTTCCACCTTCTGTTGCGAAGAGCAAGACAGTTTATGTAGTTATCAAGTAACATTTGGCTAAAATCTGTTCACTGTCATAGATTTGGTTAAATGTGAAGTCTGAATGAACTAGAAAACAAAGCCTTGAGGTGTTCAACATCGTTTTATGGAACATGCTTGTGCAAACAGGCGTGTGCTATATTAGAAAAACTGGAGTCAAAATAGAGACTTGGGAACCCTGGAGTGGTAGCTCAGGTGGCTCAGATATGCCCAGGCCGCAGGTTTGACCCCTGGTCAGGACAGTGACAAGAAGCAACCAACGGATTCATCAATAAATGGAACAGTGAACTGATGTTGCACACCCGTGCTCTTTTGCTCTCTCAACAAAATAAATGAAAAATTAAAAAATATATAGACTAAGCTGTGGAGCTAGATCATCTAATTCAACCTTGATGATTACTTTAAACAAAATAACAAAATCTGCCAAAATAAATTGTACCTAATTTTGAAACATCATTGTTTTGTGGTTTTGGTCATATGGTTCTATAAGAGCTGTAAATACAGTGTTAGTTTTGGTTTATTCGTAAAATAATAAAAGAATTAAAAAACAATTTAGGTCAATAACAGGAGGGACCTGTGATTTTCTTTTCTTTGAAATCAATTGCTCAAGTTTTAGAAATACAGAATTTTACAGAGTCTGTTTTGTATTCTGCTTCTCTTTTCCTTCGCCATGTCTTTGTAGCTACTGAATGAATTTTAATTGTTGAAAACTATGAACTGTTGGTATACTTATGTTTTTTATCCCCTTGGTTTATTATGTGGCCAAGAGAGTAAAGAGAAAATTGGAGTAATTTAATGCTGAGGCTGCTGCTGGACTTTGGGGTTCCCAGATACTAAAAATTCCCATGACCCCACAGAGTCAGGCAGATGGCGGAGGCAGACTTTGTGATGGGATCTCTGCTAGGCAGAGCAGCAAGGATGTCCTTCCAAACACTATTGTGTTTAGACCTGGTAGGGTAGGCTCATTCGCTAGAGCTTCATCCAAACACATCAAGGTTGCGGGTTCAGTCCCTAGTCAGGGCACATAGAAGAATCAGTGGGGCCCTGGCTGGGGGCTCATTTGGTGGGGAGTGTTGTCTTGTTCACCAGAAGGTTTTGGGTTTGATCCCCGGTCGGGTCACATACCTAGGTTGCGTGTCTGGTCTTCAGTTAGGGTGAGTGTGGAGGCAGCCGACCGATGTTCCTGTCTCAGAATTTCCTCTCTCGCATCGATATTTTTCTCTGCCCTCCCTCCCCTTGCTTTCGCTCTCTCTGAAATCAATAAACATATCCTTGGGTGAGGATTTAAAAAAAATCAACCAATGAGTACATAAATAAATGGAGTAACAAATAGATGTTCCTCTCTGTCTCTCCCTTTCCTCTCTCTCAAAAATCAGTAAATGAAAATAAACACAAGTACATTTGATTTAGAACCCTTTATAAAAGTAAAATATCATCATTCAAATTTTATGTTGAGAAATTGAGTTGTTTTACTTAAAGTTGATTATAATAGCTTTGATTTGAGAATTAAAAATATTAATTTAAGAAGTCTATTCTGTTATTCTGTTACAGTTCAATTTATGTTTACTTTTGAAAAAGTAGCTTATTTTATGAAGCTGGGTTATGTATGTAGTATAAAATATTTCTAACATGTATAATATCCATTATATTGACATTATATATCCATTATATACTCAAGTCATATACAAAGTCGATGTAATTATTGACTAATTTTAGCATTTTCCTGAAAATGAAATTTCTTATGCTGGGGCTTTAAAAAAAATATCTTATTTATTTCCTTTTAGAGAGAGGGGAAGGGAGGGAGAAAGAGAGGGAGAGAAACAGTGATCTGTTGCCTCTCGCATCCCTCCACCAGGAGACCTGGCCCGCAGCCCAGGTGTGTGCCACACCAGTCAGGGTAGGACACTTTTGTTTTTAAGTAATGCTCATATGAGTTAATGTTACCATAAAAAGGAAGATTAAGATCATATTTTTAAAAGTTCTCATTGTTTTACATTGTATTATAATTTTTGAATATGTAGATTTGTGTTTAGATGTGATGGTATATAAATCGATGTTTCAAGCCTTATATTTCTAGTATAGTTGTTACCTGGTTGTTTATAATTCTACACACTTATTTTTGTGGAGTGTTTTTACTTTTTTACCATTGTTTAGAAGTCTGATATGAAGCCCTGGCTGGTGTGGTTCAGTGGGTTAAGCACCAGCCTGCAGACAGAAAGGCTGCGGCTGGTGCGATTGCCCAGCAGGGCGCACGCCTGCATTGCAGGCTAGGTCCCCAGTAGGGGGCGTGCGAGGCCCAGTCAGTCAGTGTTTCTCTGGCTTGTATTCTCCCTTCTTTCCCCTCTCTAAAAATAAATAAATAAAATTTTCTAAAGAGTAAAAAAAAAGGTCTGATAGTGCATATTCATACCTATTATAAGTCATTTTATGGTCCCTGTTAATACTGGGAATTTCTTAAGTTTATAAGAGTTTTGAATAATTCTTCTGATTCTTTATAATCTGTTTTTAACTTTAGGCCATTCATAGAAACTTCTGTTTCTCAAAGTACATTCCTTTCACATTTGTGGAAATAACTGATATGGATTAGCGGATAAGAGCGTTTTCTCTTTTTCATTTTGATGTGGATTACCTGTGTGTGTATGTATAGGAAAGAGGACATTGAAATATTTTTTTTCTGTTTTGAATATCAGCATTGATATGAACAAGTTTGTGTGACTAGAATGGTCTCGCTGCTTTTCAGTGATGTGGAGCCACCTGCACCTATGGAGGAGCCCCCTGTGGTGGAGGAGCCCCCAGACCCCCTAGAGGAAGGGTCTCCAGCCAAGTAGGTATTTCATTCATTTTTCCCATTGGGTTGTTGGTCTTTTTCTTACTGATTTTTACAAGCTCTTCACAGAGCAGAAAGCTTATTTAGCCTTTCATCATATCACAGAGGGTTTATCTACTTAATGTATTAATGAATAATTGAACTAATTAGCCCAGGCTGGTGTGGCTCAGTGGATTGAGCCCTGGCCTGCGAACTGAAGGGTCACCAGTTCAGTTCCCAGTCAGGGCACATGCCTGGGTTGTGGGCAGGCCCGCAGTGGGGGGCGTGTGAAAGGCAGCCACACATTGATGTTTAAAAAATTTTTTTAAAATAATTGAACTGATTAATATTCAAATAATCTAATGAATGGTTAGTAATGACAATTAATGGCTTCAATTCAAGCCTTCTGCCCTGTGCCCATGCCTCTTTTCCATCAGCACTCTGTACTGTGACTGGTCTCTCTCTTGTCATGACCCCTTCTCTTGTCCCTTTATTCTCTCCTCCCTCTTTCCTGCATGGAGCTAAGGTCTCTGGTCCATCTCTAGCATTCTTGCCAGTTCTTTATACGCCTTTGCCCCTTGGATTTTTGTTGTACCTTGCTAGCAGAATCTGCCTCCTGGGTAACTGCTAGCCGTCTGCCTTCCCTCTGCCTGCACCCACAGGCGGAGCACTGCCCGGCACGGTGGGGCTGACAGGAACCCCTGTAAATTCTTGATCACCAGCACTCTGAAATGAGCCCTCAACACTGCCGGCAGTCTTCATTTCTGGGGTACACTCTTTCTCTCCCCCACTACCATGACTGGTTTGATCCTTCCTGTCTCCTCCAATCTCTGTCGCTGCCCCCATTTGCCTATACCTGCTCTTTCATTTTCTAGATACATCTTTGCCCCCACATAACAGAAATTAGGAGCCGATGGGAGCTTCATCACCTTCCCACTTCCGAAGGTGCGGCCTTGCCGATACCTGCACGCCTTCTAGCCTCTTTGCCTCATGGTGAAAGGGAGGTGCCATCTCTCCTCCCACCTCTTCAGGCTTTGGAGCCTGTTTGTTGCTAACTCCACGGAAACCTTGCACTGTCATGCATCTTCTCCCTTTCCGGGTGTACTCATGTCCTTCCTCCCAACTCTGGTCTTCCAATCAACATTTTAAAAATTAACATTGTAAACATGCTCAATTTCTCCTATTTTCTCCTCTTGCCCCACATTCTCAGTCAGCTAAATTTTTTCAGGTGTGTGCTCTTTCGTCATTGTCTCCTTTCTTAATCTTCAGTCTAGGTCTGGCTCTTCTTTCATTGCTGTTCTGAAACAATCACCACCTGTCTCCAGGCCTAATGTATGTTTTAGTCTGTGCTGCCCTTGACCTCTTAGAACATCTGACTTTATTAATTTTATTAAGCATACCCTACAGTTGGTTTCTGTGATTCCTGAGATCTTTGGCTTTCCTTCTGCTTCTTAGCTCCTTTGCAGACTTATCCTGATCTCTTTGGCCTTTTAAAATACTGAGTTCTTAAGGGCTCTGCCTTAGACCTTCTTTCCTTTCTGTAGTGTCTCCTTATGGGAACTCACAGACCATGCAGTTTGAATTGTCATTTATACACTGACTCTAGAATACATGGCTCCGGCTCCGAACTTTAGCATGGACTCCAGGCCTGTGTATCCACCTCCCCTTGAACATCCCCAGTGCTCCTCCTGCAGAGCATGTCCACAATTGAGGTCCACATACCTCCGGTTCTCATCAGGTGTTGCATCTTGGGGGACAGCATTGCCATCCAACCAGTTGCACAGAACAGAGCCTAGGGGTCATCCCTGAGACCTCCTCCTTTTTGATGCCCTTCGTCCTCAAAATCCAATATGTCACTCTGCCCTGATAATTGGTATGTTTTTCTAATATCCATTACCTTCACTCACCGTCATAGTCTCAGTTATTGCCTTCTGACCTGTCACTGTAGCTCCTAATGGGGCTCCCTGCCTGCTCACCTTCTACCAGCCTGTTGCCACGCTGAAGTAGCTTTCACACTGGCAGTCTGATTGTCATGCCCTCACACCTTGCGCTAAGACCCCGGTGGCTTCATGTCCCTTTTCTGTTCCTTGTCCTGACCTTCATGGTCCTGTGTGGTCCAGCCCCTGCAGAGTTACTGTGTGTTCTCTGGGATCACCAGATGGCCCTTATTTTACATTCCCTTCCCCTCACTTGCCGTAGGGCTTTTACAAGTACTGTTTCCTTTTTTTTCTTGTACTCTCTTCCAAATCCCCTTCCACCCTTCACCTTTTACTTGTCCTTCAGCTTCCAAGGGGCAGGGTGTCTACTGGTTTAACAATATGGACTCCAGCCTTGGCTGGTGTGGCCAGGTTGTTTGAGTGCAAACCAAAGGGTTGCTGGTTCATTTCCCAGTCTAGGGCACATTCTGGGTTGCAGGCCATGTCCCCAGTAGGGGGTGCTCGAGAGACAACTAATTGATGTTTCTCTCCCTCTCTCCCTCCCTTCTCCTTTCTAAAACTAAATAAATAAAATCTTTAAGAAGTGAAGAATATGGACTCTAAGCCCAGTATGCAGGGTTCAGATTCTAGCTCTGCCAGTTATTGGCTTGGGCAAGTTATTTAATTTCTCTGTGTCTCAGTTTCCTTCATCTGTAAAATGGAAGTAATAGTAGGATCTACATCAGAGGGTTGTTACAGGGTTGGTTGGGGGAATCCGTGTATGTGTTACGTAGAGTAGGGCCTGGCACATCATTAATGCCATATAAAAATATCTGCTATTTTTATTGTTACTGCAAGAAGAAATTATTACAATGATTGAGGATTTTGAAAGCTATTAAGTTATCATTCGAAACAACTAAGAAATAAATTTAAAGATGTAGATTATCAGTTACAATGAACCTTGACTCAGTGGGTTGAGTGCCGACCTGTGAACCAAAGGGTCACCGGTTCAATTCCCAGTCAGGGCGCATGCCTGGGTTGCTTGGCCAGAGCCCCAGGAGGGAGCACATAAGAGACAGCCACATATCAATGTTTCTTTCCCTGTCTTTCTCCCTTCCTTCCCTTCTGTCTAAAAATAATTAAGTAAAATCTTTAAAAAAACAGTTAGAGCCCTGGCTGGTGTGGCTCAGTGGATTGGCCTGCAAACCAAAGGTCGCCAGTTGAATTTCTAGTCAGGGCACAAGCCTGGACTGTGGGCCAGGTTCCCAGTAGTGGGTGCACTGGAGGCACCCCCACATAGGTGTTTCTCTCCCCTTCCTCCTTCCTTCCCCTCTGCCTAAAAATTTTTTAAAAGTCAAATCTTTAAAAAAATAAAAAACAGTCACAATGAACAGCTGGCCCGCAGATCTAGTAGAATTGCAGGGGCCGCACAGGCAGGCTGGGGGCAGGTCGTGCGGGGTCTTGTTTCTGCACTGCATTGTCATGTGCTAAAACTGTTACTAAAGTCTCTTAATTGCACAGTTACAAGTTTTTGGTAATTTCAAAATTAGGCTTGTATGTGAGAAATACACTAAAAAATGGTGATGCTCTCTAATCCGGGCTTTGCCCAAATATTAATCTAACACTCAAGCTTTTGACATTTAGCTAGAGTGTATATTCAGTGCACCTCTTGGTTTAGAACTTCTTGAAGGGTGAATTTAATATATCAGTCTTATAATTTTGGGTTTTATACTTAGGTTCCTAATCCATTTTTTAAAAAAAGTAATATGTATTTATTTGATTTTTTTTGAGTTGATTTTTTAGTAAGTTTTGAGGTATTGGTAGAAGTTTTGCATATACAGTCATTCTAGCACACTGAGCACCATTACTGAAAATCAGTTGCCCATGGATGTGTGGGTATATTTCTGTATTCTATTTTGTTGGTCTGACTGTATTATACTAATATCACACTATCTTGATTACCCTAAGTCACTTTTTTTTCTTAAGCCACTTTTAATCTGACTTTTCTCTTTTTTTCCCTTCTTGCAATTTATTTATTTGAGAAACTAGGTCATATGTGCAAAGAGTTTCCAAGAGTCAGAATTTTATTGACAGCATCCTTGTGGGCAGTGGGGTGCCAGTGGAATGCTCAGCGCTTGGTTGTGTGGGATGAAAAGCCCTCATGTGTTGCACTTGCTGGTTTCTGTAGTGTGAACACTTACCATGGCTGATTGAAAACTACCAACATGACATCCCTGAATGCGGAGTCGGGGACAATGTGCACTGCATACCATTATGTAGTATTTCCACTGTACACACACAGTAGGCATAAATAACCTAAAGAGCACAGATAAAGGTAAAATGTGCTGAAGTAATTAGGGAATAGTGATTTGTGGGTATTATTTAACTTTTTAAATATAGTTAATTATAAGTTTATGTAATTTAATTTTTAAAAATGACTATGTTTAATAGCTGGTTCACAGAATTTCTGAAAATCTATGATACAAGCCAGTTCCAGCACAGCATTTCATGTAGAGTAGATGAATGTACTTCTCTGTCCCTCATATTTTGTGTATTTCCTGAAAATTAATAATTGAGAGATAAAAGTTTGTTCAAATTCAGGTTCAGTTTTTTGGCAAGATTATTTGATAGGTTGTAGAAGGTCACCGATTATCATTACATTTATCCATTGAGGCTGCAAATTGGTCATCTAATTTCTGTCATTCTTTTTTTTTTTTTTAAGATTTTATTTATTTATTTTTAGAGAGATGGGGAAGGGAGGTAGGGAGGGGGAGAGAGAGAGAGAAACATTAATGTGAGAGAGAAATGTCATTGATTGCCTCTTGCATGCACCCTGACCAGGGACTGAACATGCAACTCAGGCATTTGCACTGACAGGGAGTCAAACCTGTGACCTTTTGCTTTGCAGGACAACACCCAACCCACACTGGTTAGGGTTAAATTTTTTTGTGTTTGTTTCTTTTTCTATGCTGAAAATTTCAGTTGTCAGTAACATTATAGTATTACTCATTTGTAACACAAACTGCGGTCACAAAGAGTATTACCCACACCACCTCCACTGTAGCAATAGTACTATTGCTACACAGTTACAGAGATAGCTGT